AATTAAAAGAGCATCTGCTGAAGTAATTATTTTACAATGATAAGTAGTAATCCTAAAGTATATATCCGTGATGGTGAATCTATGGCACGCGTGCTGGAAGGAGTACGCAGAGCCATCTCTGGGCACGCAAGTTGTTGCCCGTTGCTCTTCTGGGTTCTGGCATGCTGGTTGTCATGTGCATGGGAGCACTGGAAACCAGAAGAGCAACCGCCCGGTGCGCGTGGCAGGTGGCTGCTCTTCCGGTTTCTGGCATGCGCATGTGCACCGGCCACCTGGTCTTTCAGTTTCTGGCACATATGTGCATGAAAAGATCAGCTGGCTGGTGCGCATTCACACACCAGAAAACAGAAGATAATTTTCTCAGCACGCACATGCACACCGGGTGGCTGCTCTTCTGGTTTCCAGCACACGTGTTGTCCCATTTCGGCACTCAGTGCCGAAAAAGTTCGCCAACACTGGTAAATGTACTTACTTGAACTAAGTGGTAGTGAGTACTGAATTGTCTTGTATAAAACTTAATAATTACTGCTATTTTTTTCCTTATGCAAACAGTTCCCTACACTGTAAAAATATTAAAGATGGTTTCAACTTTTGCACCTAGCTACACTGTCTGATTACTTGCTGAATTCAAAAACTGTGTAACAAGACAAAGAGAAATTCAGAACCTGAATTACAATTGGCCATGTTGTCTTGAGAATTAAAACACTGTTTGCCCTGTTTTATGGTTTTGTTTTAAAATATGCCAAAATATAAATTATTGTAGTATGTTTTATGTGGCCCTGCCCTGATGAGAAACTGCAATTGTTTTAAACCACAAGCACTAGGATAGAACTGGGAAATACCTTTCTATTCTTTAAGATTAGTTCTTTATAGTTCTAACTTAAATATGTCCAGACAAGTTATTACAGTAAGTGTCAAATATTCTTCTCTGGGTTCTAATGTTATTAATAGTGAGGAAGAGACTAATTGGAAATTTAGAGGTGACATCTCGAATCTGGAATCTTCCTATCAGGATGATTCATGTAATGGTAAGTTTGTATTTTTCGGCAACCAGCTAAAATGTCTTTTTAAGTTTGAATATGAAATGCAGATAGTATCACTAAGAAATGTACTTTCTCACCGTGACATTTATGAGAAAGTATCTCTTTCTGAAAGTGCAGATTTTAAAAATGTATGTTTCTATAAGCATGTGCGTAATCTCCTCACTTAGTGCTCAAATGAGTATTTTAAACTTTATGAAAATAATTTAAAGAAAATATAATAAAGTTGGATTTTAAGCAAACAACAAAACTTCAACTCTTACAGGACTGTTATTTTACCTATTCCTGGATGCTCAGCCACAATGTTCACACGATATTCCTTACAGAATACTTGGTAGGCAGACATATTTTTCTTCTTTGGCTAATTAGAAAAAAGGAGGAAGGAGATAATATTTAAAAGTATCAATTTCTTTCTAATACCTACAGAAATATCTAAAAAACCATCTCATAGTCCACTTCTTTATACATTAGTACCTAAGCTGAAGTTTTTGTTATGAAGTATGTATGTATGTGTGTGTGTGTGTGTGTGTGTGTGTGTATGTATGTATGTATGTATGTGTGTGTGTGTGTATATATATATGTATATATGTGTGTGTGTGTGTGTGTATATATATATATATATATATATGTGTGTGTGTGTGTATATATATATATATATATATA